AAAAGAACAGAAATTAAGGACGTAAAAGATAGCCATTGACATTGCATGTAGATTTTTGAAGATTAAAGTTGACAGGAAATCAAGAAACCAGAAGAGAGTTCCACAAACGAGATGTGCATGAGAAGTGGTTAACATAAAACGAACGTCCATATTTAGTCATTTAAACTGTAAAATGATGAGACAACTGCCAATCTAGTATTTAAGATTAAATTCGTAAAGGAAGCACCACAGACGAAAGTTCTTCGGAACAATTACCACGAAACTATTTATGGAAAAGGCACAGGGAAGTTACGAATTTAGATCATTCATGAGGGCAGGCTTTATTTAGTTTTAATTATAACGTATGTATTCAACCTTTTCCTGGACAGTATTTGGTTAGCGGATTCCGTTAAAGTAGGAATAACGTTTTCGTTTTTGTGTTGTAATCTGTTTCAAGGCAAAATATTAAAAAAATAGATATTTAATTGTCTATTAATAGTAATATTAATTGTTTAAATATTTTCACTGTTTCCAACACATAAAATTGAGATTATGTATTCTTTAAATTTTCAGATACTGGGAGTGAAAAGACTTCAGAAGGAGCCGGAAACCCAATCTTAAGTTTGAAATAAGGAATAAACCTCTACTCCTGTTCAGTGTCGGACTTTCCGTCAACTGTTAAAACACTTCTCTGATATTGAAATTTTTGTACATGTTTGATTGTGGTTTCTGTAAATTGTAATTTGTATTTGCGGCTCATTCTTTTGCTAACATCCATGCATTCTGTCTTCTTGCAGCTGATGTTTAATGCTTTCTTCTCGCTTTTCTTCACTTCCTTTTGTAGGAACCAAACGTGACCAATAATATTTAGAACTTGCTGGAGCCAATAGTTTTTTTTTTTCAGCTAAAACATTCGTTGCTAGGACTTGATCACTTGTAGAACACCAAATATGATATGCTGCTTAGTCGCGTGGTATAATTTTTCCAATCTGTCCATTCTATTGAGTATAAAAAGGGAAAAGCCAGAAGCAACGTATAAAGAAGTATTATTGGTCAGATGTTGTCATATGGTTCATCTGTCTTTGGTTAGATTTTTTTTTTTCTAGAAAGGAAGGAGTGAGTCTGAATTGATATTACGGGGAAAGTCACGATTCTTTGCTGGAATGTTCTCCGTTGCATATTTGAGGTATTCGGCGTTACATTTGTCTGGTCCAACGCTTTTTATATTTAACAACTTCGCAGTTTTCTTATTTATCTCGTTCTCCTGACAATGTCGTGGGGGGCATATTTTTAATGGCGTCATTCTACTCTGCAAGGAGCTTTTCAGAGTAGTTGGTCGTTATTTCAGCTCGTTTCTTATCTCGACATACAATTATTTTCCCTTCGTCTTTCGACTTCTGTGGTTTTTTGACCCTCTCTTGTGTATTTTAGATACAGATTTTTTCCGATTCCCAAAATATACACCTTTGCTCAGTTTTGTATACCAGTCGACAAAAATCTCTGCCGAAAAGAAGTATTCGTGCTTTGCTTGGCCATCAGCACTTACATAGCCGAGAGTTTAGAGCACTTCAAATCCAGTGACAGTTTCCCTTAGTGTAACACAGGTAGGAATCCTGCCAGGGAGCACATATTTTTCTAATAAGACTTATCGAATATTCAGGCATCTAGACAAAAATAAATAAATAAATATACTGTTTGACATATAAACACAAATATCAACTCAAATATTATATCCACTAAAATAACGTTTAATTTGTTATATATATATATATACATATATACGCGCATATATATATATATATATATATATATATATATATATATATATGCATATGTATTTATGTATGTATTTGGGCAGAAATCCCTGTTTTATACAAGTTATATTAAAAACGACTGACAAGGTACTGCAGTTAAGTTTTGTTTAATTTTTGAAGTGTTCTTATAAAATTCTTTCTGAACGTAAATTATGTAGAAATTTTCAAAAGTGTTTAATGTCCAAAAGTGTTTAATAGCATTTTTAACCATACATTTAGCTATTAACAAGGATGGATTTTAATTTATATCTTAACTGAATGTATGAATTGTTACATGTATGTATCTAGAGTTGTAGAAATGATTTATTTCCAAAGACGGTCAGCACATTGTGCCCGTGTTCATAGTTGATATTATTGAGTGTTTACATTTTCTTTTCTTTTTTTAATCCTTTTTCACATGTCGATGAGGCTATTTTATTTGTATTATCGACGAGTAATGTAGCGGATACAAGTTGGTAGGTCTCCATGACTATTTAAATTTACACACACAACACACACACATATATATATATATATATATATATATATATAACATAAGAATTATCCTTCCTGAAAATCGACCATGATCAAATTTACTCACACACACACACATATATATATATATATATATATATATATATATATATATATATAAGTGAACATTGAAGTCAACACTCAGAGGCGACAGGCTGTTTCATGCTAGACTTAATCGTCTTATATTTTATACGCTCTGTCTCTGATATTGAGCACTTTATCCCATAAATATAGTACACATAAATTAAAGCTATTACTGCATATATATATATATACAGTAAATAATATATAATAATTAAATATATATATATATATATATATATATATATATATATATATGTAGCGGAATATGCTTTTATATACGAAGAAATAAGAATCTTCAAACAGGGATCTACAAATTTTTTAATAATTATATATATATATATATATATATATATATATATATATATATATTTTCACTGAAACAAATTGTTTCTGGCATGTCTTTTCCGTCTTTATTCATGGCAAAATAGTACAGTTCATTATTTATGCTGTAATGGACTATCCCACACTCCCTGTCGCCGATGTGAACTGACTATATCAGTAGATATACATAGTGTGCACAAGACATCCCTGAGACTGGCTTCGGGAAGTGCTAGCCTGCTAACCGATTCCCTGTCTTTCAGTAGTGTATTCTCTTTTACAATAAACCTCTCTTTCTTTCACCTCCACCCACGTTGCTGTTCCCTTCACTCGAGTACCACCTTTGTCTGTTTGTAACCTCTTTAAGGATACAACAATTCATGAGGTATTGACTGGGCGTAACGTACATGTTAACTCCCTACGAAACGAAGGAATAAAGAGAATTAGAATATGTCTGTTTGTCTTGTTATAAATCAACAAATAATTGGATTTTTCGATCTAAATACACCATATGTTAAACAGAAAGACGTATATATTTTGCTTTCATCAAATACATATCACGAAAAGGATATATTACCAGATCGCAGTTCATGTGAATCTGGTGTTAATAGAATTTTATAGTTGAATTTTATAATTTTTTTCATCTATGTATGATGAATAGATTTCTTTTGATTTTTTCTCTTGTCGATTCACATTCAAAAAGGCTTTAAAAAATAATGGCTGAAATATAATCCCCCGGAAGTCACGTATCTCGTCAGACAGAACCAACTTTTAGTTTGGAAAAGAAAGAAAATATTTCATTTACAAAATATATTACTCCACTACACTTCAAATGCAATCATTATTTTCTTTTTAAAGACATCATATCTGATCTTTTCAGTAGAAAGACAGCAATCACTTTGTTCTTCGAAGACCCGTCAATATATACGAAATCTTAGTATATATAACACAGCGACTACCATATACAGTGTTTAATATACTTCGATATCATATATTCAAAATGAATTGTTATAATGTGAGTCAATATATCTATTAACAATGAATTGTCATGACTTGAAAATATAATATAGTGGTTTCCGATATCATTTCCAAGGTTTTGTATTATACAGAGCGCGACAATCATACCTCACACAAATAGATCAATGTAATTGCCATTAAAAAGAAACTACTCACTGTTGTTTAAATAAACGATAACAATATTGATCTATTTGGTTTTTAAAATGACATCTTTCAAATAGTGGTCTCTATTCGATATACACTGTTGTAGAAGATTTCTAAAGTTTATTTTTTTTTATCAACCGGAAATTTGATGTCTTCGAGGTTCTGTAGAAGGCTTTCTTTTGAGCACTGAACCGGTGACCATAACATTTTCAAGCCGTAGCAGACATCATTTTTCTATCCGTAACAGTATCATTCCGACATAACATGAAATTAGTAGAAAAAGCTCTCTGTGTTGCAATTACAGATTCTCCAGTCTTTAAAAAAAGGTTTCAAAAAGCAAACGCACAGTCGGAATCCATGCAAACCATGATGTTAACTGATGGGATCTAAAAACAAAAAGGAGGATATTAACTAGATGAAGACAGCGTTTCTACTTGCCCGAGAGTTCGCTAACACCAGAAATGACAGTTTAAATGTGGGCGATATGTCTACCGCACCGTGTACTAGACTAACTGCCACGCATGCTAGAGACCCCACTCTACCCTGTTAGGTCACCTATAGCTCGGAGAAAATGCGGGAACAGTGAACAAAACAGACTAGGCTGCAATTTCAGACCGATTCTTAGATTTTAGATTTCACCCCGGTAACCGCTACACTAACATAAGCCCTACTCGAAATAAACACATGTTCTAAAATATTGACGATTTAGTTGCAGTTGTAGTTGCCATTGTGTTAGAGAAAAGTGCATGACATTTTTAATACATTCGATTTCGAAAGTTTTTCAGTAAATAAATGCCATCGTATTTGAAGAATAGGTTTTCTTAATTGCGAACGAAAAAATAGATTTAAAAAGTCGTTCGTAAAATTCATAATTAAATGTCAAGATATTAAAGAAAAAACATTTACGAAAACCTTTAGCAATGATACACTCTCCAGTCGAATTAAATACACTTGTATGAAAACATACTCAGATACAAGCAGAGAAACGCACACAACACAGACGCATACACGCAAACACACACATATGTTATATATCTATTTATCTACACATGAAATACATAAGCTGCATAGAGGTAGGTTGTCTAATTATAGCGATAAAAAGTGGAATATGACTGGTTGAGTATGATATAA